AAAGGCAACATCACAACCAAACTTTACCACTTACCATTAAAAGGCAACATCACAGCCAAACTTTACCACTTACCATTAAAGCATGTCCACATTCAAACTTTAACGCTTACCAATTAAAGGCAACATCACAGCCAAACTTTAACACTTACCAATTAAAGGCAACATCACACCCAAACTTTAACACATATTCATTTAAGGCAACATTACATCCAAACTTTAACACTTACCAATTAAAGGCAACATCAGAGCCAAACTTTACCACTTACCAATTAAAGGCAACATCACAGCCAAAATTTGTAATGTACCCATTTCAGGAGCCCACACCCAAACTTTAATACATATTCATTTAAGGCAACATTACATCCAAACTTTAACACTTACCCATTAAAGGCAACATCAGAGACAAACTTTTAACAATTGCCCATTAAAAACAAGTCCACAGTCAAACATTAACACTTACCCATTAAATGCAACATCACAGTCAAACATTAACAATTATACATTGAAGACAAGTCTACAGTTAAACTTTAACACTTACCCATTTCAAAGATTTGGACAGGTAGAGGAATACAATCAGCGCGAGATAAGAAGTCATCAGTTTGACCAGGTACAGAACACACGTAATCTGTCGGTGGAATCATTAGTAAGAAAGAAACGTCTGGACTCAACTCAATAACTTCCAGATTGTAGATTCTAGAGGAAAGATTCCATAAAGTGATTAAAATATAACAACTTACATTATCTGCAAAATTCAAATTCAAATGTACTTTAAAAGATTCAGTTGTATTTGAAAAAAAAGTCTTAGTAAAATGACAGCAACAGTTCATATGATGTAGTCATCAGTTGTTAATGTTAACAATTAGCTTATAACAATAAGCATGTTTTAACATTGTTTATATATTCGTGATGATTGTTGTTGTGTAACGTGTTCGAAATATTTAATTATTCTGGTTGGTTTGAAATTAAGCACAAAGCTGCACAATGGGCTATACCACGGGTATCGAAACCCGGATTCTAGCGTTGTAAGTCCGCAGACATACCGCCGTGCCACTGGGGGGGGGGGCAATTATTCTGGACATAAG